TGGACTATGGGATATAATTGCAGGTACATCCGAGTGTGTAGGATGAAAAACCATATAACTGAGCTTTTGTTGGATCATTGAACGGAACTGTCTCCAATTTCACTGTATGAATGTTCACTTTATATGCTTTAATTTAGTGATATGGACAACTTCTGGGAAGATAATATGTAACCTATTAACTGGTGATTTCATACTGTATATATTTTTTTCTAAAAACACTGTATTATTTGTACCCTTTTACCACATTGTTTTTTTATGTCCTTTTTTTCTTCTCTCTTTAAATAAAAAAAATACATATATATATATATATGTATATATGTGTCCATTCAAAAACACATGCATAAATGTTTATAGGAACACTATTCATAATATCCAAAAGGACAAATAACCAAATAGCCATTAACTGGTAAAAAGATAAACAAAATGTTGTATATGCCAGATATGGTGGTGCATGCCTACTATCCCAGCACTTAGGAGGCTGAGGCAGAAGGATTGCTGGGAGTTTGAGGTCATTCTGGGCTATACAGTGAGACCCTGTCTACAAAAAAAGAAAGAAAGAGAGAGAGAGAGAGAAAGAGCAGTATATAATGGAATAGTGCTGAGCAATAAAAAGGGAAGAAATACGGGTAATTGCTACAACATGGCCGGTGTGAAGCACACACCTGGAATCCCAGCACTCGGGAGGCTGAAGCAGGAGGACAGCCATGTTCATGGCTACACAGTGAGTTCAAGGTCAGCCTGAACTACAAAGTGAGATCCTGTCTCAAAAAGCAAAACAGAATTGTTACAACATGAATGAGCTTAAGAATATGATGCTAGCTCAAAGAAGCCAGTTACAAAAGACCATATACTCATTTATATGAAACGTACAGAATAAATAAATGTACAAAGAAAGTTGAGGAGTCACAAGTAGGAGGCTTGGAGAGAAAAGGAGAGTAACAGCCAGTAAAAGGGAAATTTCTTTTGATTATGATGAAAATATTCTAAAACTGATTGTGGGGGGGATGAGGTCAGTGGTGGAGCCCTTGCCTTGTGCCTGGGTTTGAGGCCCTAGTACTACAGAACAGAAACTGGGTAATGAGGTACAATCCTGTGTAAATAGACCAAAACCCATTGAACTACATGCTTTAAATGTGTTAATCATAATAACTGAATTATACCTTCTTACAACTGTTGAAAATGTTAAGAGTGGTAATGTTTGGGTATAGGATTATCGGAGGTTTTTTTTAATTTAAGTTTACCTGTCCTTTCTGACTTTTCTACAAATATAATTATTTTGAGTTATTAAAAAAAACTCATCATACAGAAAACACACACACACAAAAAAAAAAAAAAAAAAAAAACCTGAAAAAAGACAAAGGAGACACATTTTTCCTTATAACACAGTATTACAATGACCCCAGGCCAGCAGGACAGCAGCTAGGCAAAGCATGCTCACTGCCATATCAGCCCTGATCACTTACACTCCCCAACCTGTGGGTGAGTCACAAGCTCAGATGCTTTTTGCTTGAGTGATGACTTACTAAGGCACTACTATAGTGACAAATGTATGGCACACTCAAAACATTTCCCAGCAAGTTATAGGAAACATTCTATGAAAAATACACAGCACACACACCACTGTATTTGCTGTACGCTGGTACATCAACAAAAACAGTAAGATAATCAAAAGTGATACAGAGACTGTTTAAAACTAACTACATTCTTAAAATGGAATGCAAGCAAGGGAATTCTGATTATTATTATTATTATTATTAATTCTATTTTTCCAACTGTATCTGGTCTATTGCCCTCATTTGAACATCTCTCCAAGCTGGGCATGGTGGTGCACACCTGTAATCTAAGCACAGGGAGGCTGAAGCAGGACAACTGTATCAGGTTTGAGGCCAGCCTGAGCTACATAGCAAGATCCTGTCTCAAAAATAAAACATAACTGAATAGGTGGACATTTATGAAAAAACAAAATAAAACAAAAAACAAAAAAATAGTGACTGAACACCTCTCCAATGTGTGGCTCTGAAACCAAAGATGGAATATGGGTAAAGATAAAGAGAGGAAACAATTCTCAGCTGCTGAGAAAATATATCCACCCTGCATATTTATTAATCACGGACTATGATTCACCGTGCCTAGTTTTTAAGCCAACATCATAGTTTAATCATATTGCTAGGTTACAGGCCCCTGAGTTATTTGAAAATAATAAAGACGGAATCCATTACAATAACACATTATGCTTTTCCCCCCTGTATCATCTCTTTAGGGAGAACATTTGACCATTATAAAATACACAACATACTCAACATATAGTTATCTTGGATCTTAAAACTAAAGAGGTTTCCAATGAAAATGAAATAGTTATCCAGTGATTGGTCATCCTAAGAAATGGAGTACAAAACCTTAGGTAAGCAAGTAACAACATCTCCCAGGTCCACAGGCGGTAGAACTATGCTACAGTCAAGTGAAGAAACTTTCACGTAGCTCGCTGGACTTATATTCAGAAACACAGTCTATCATTTAATTTTCTCAAGAATAACTCCCTAACACATTATCTCTTGAGCTCTGCAAAGCAATACTACTGCAAAAAGCTGCGTGGAGCAGGTGAGTTAATGAAACACACATGTGCACAACTGTTTAAATTCACAATCAGCAATCCTACACCAACCTTAATGAAACATTCTACTCATAGTTTCAATAGAAATAGTATAAATGCAGGTGATTCGTGCAGGTGATAACGATAAATGATAATCAAGGACATATTTATTTTTATTTTTGTTTTTGGTACCAGGAATCAAACTCAGGACCTTGTGCTGTGCCCCCGAGCTACATTCCCTGCCAAGGACACGTTTAATGAAGACTCATCTCTCAGATGTACAGTATGCTTTTATACACACAGGTCCTCAGTTCTCAGCGACTTCTTTCCTCCTCCTGCATTAAGCTAACCCATTCTTGCTAAGTATACTTGATATATTTCAGCTAAAAATTTATTTGACCTTACATGCTACAGATCATTTTGGCAAATTGAGAGAAGCAGCATCTAAACACCATAAAATGAGAGCTACTGACAGTGATGATGTAACACCAACCAACACTAAAATGAGTCTATGAAAAAAGGAAAAACTCCAGCCTGACTAAAAGACAAGTAACAAAAGACAGCCTTGCCAGGTATGGTAGCACATACCTGTAATCCCAGCACTTGGGAGGGTAAGGCAGAAGATTCCCCCACAGTTTTTCTTTTTCCTGATTTTTGAACACAGGTTTTACTGCCTAGTTTAGGCTGGCTTTGAACTCCCCAGGATGGCCTTGAACCTCAATTGATTCCCGGGTCTCCGCTTCCTAAAAGCTGGGATTGCAGGCATATGCCACTCTGCTGAGATTCCCCACAGTTTTGAGGCCAGCCTGGGCTACCTAGTGAGTTCACAGCCAGCCTGAGATCCTGTTTCAGGTAAAAAAATAAACAAGAAAAACAGACAGCCTTGAGTGCTCAACAACACTGATGTTAATTGTATTTTGGATCTGGCAGTCTCAAGGCTCATACACTGAAAGAAAATCAAAGTCACATCACCAATCAAAAAGAAATATCATCCAAATATTGCAAACGCATTAAAAATAATAACTTAAGAGTAACTATGGTACTTTGCCAAGGAGGTAAAGAATTTACATTTATTATGTATTATGTACAAAGTGGCTACCTTCATGTGTTAGCTGCTCTATTTCACATATCAGGAAACAGAGTCCCTATAAAGTACAATAACTTTCCTAGGGGCATAGCTAGCAAGCAACCTGTTAGAACTTTGGAATGTCTAATTTCACAGTCACTGTATTCTGTACAACAGTATTAATGCCTACTGTACATGCCAACTTTGCCACAAATTTCACCGAGAATTTTACAATAATAATTCTTGCTTTGTTTGGGGCTCAAAACTTTTACTGGGAGAAAAATCTGCAAGTAAATTTTTGACCTTTCACCTAAAAGCATTTGCAGTAAAACATGACCTTTTGATAAGGGTCTGGAATATTTTACCATGAATTCTAAGAAGTCTGAATTTCTAAATACAATTTGGAAATATTTACATGAGCTGAAACTATAGTCCTAACTAAGCTAAATAGTTATTTTTGGCTCCTTAGTCTAAGTTACTCAATAACTAAAACACTAGAATCCAACACAAGAATAGCAAATACAAAGATGTGGGGAGGAGAATGCACATACACCTTGGCACTTGACAACATGAAATGACCAACTTCATGTCAAATGTTTGGCCACTGTTTACACTCCTTATTGGTCAACAGATGCCAGGCAGGAGTTTAAAAATTCCAAGGTAAAGTGTTCAAGTTCAAAACCTGAACCCAGCTATAAAAGTGGCTTTCTTTTAATTTAAAAAAAAATTTAACATCCCGAGGTTCTATCATAAAGAAAATGTTCACAAATTTTCCTTTTCAATAAAAAACCTGAGTTCAGCCTGGCATAGTGGCACATGCTTGTAAACCCAGCACTTGGGAGACGGAGAAAGGACTGCTAAGTTCAAGGCCAGCCTGAGTTACATAGCAAAACGCATCTCAACCACCTCCTCCTACAAAAGGTGACCTTATTTACAACTTCATTGGATTCCAGATTCTTGTTACTCTAACATCATTGACAACCGTTTCCCTGAAATGCTTTAGAGTTCCAAGAGTTCATGCTGTGGCTGGCCTGAAAGTCCACATGTCACTTCTCCACCTGGACAGCTGGTACACGATATGCCATATTAAAGAGAACACAGTACCTTTTAAAGAGGTCATTAAACACAACCTGCACAAATGTGCCAGACCCACATCCTGAACAATACGTGTTTTTCAAGAAAGCATTCACTTCATCCAACCAGAAGATAAAAACCAAGTCTGCCCACAAAATGTCCTCAGTGCCCAAACCCACAACCTGAGCAAAGGTCATAAACAGTTAAATAAACAATGTAAACCGGACACTATCATTCCTCCCTTCTCCAGAAAAAGATAATAAGACTGGACATGGTGGCGCATTCCTGTCATCCCAGCAATCCCGAGACTGACATTGGAGGACTGCCGCGAGTTCGAGGCCAGCCTGGGCTTAGGAGTGAGTTTAAGGGCAACCTGAACTGCATAGGGAAACCGAATCTCAAAAAGACCAAGAAAAAAAGATTTAAAAAAAGACGTTTCTGACGGCCCCACGGTGATCTCAGGTGAGGAGATAAGTTTCTCATTTTAAAGTTTTCAAGCGGCTTCACTGCTGGCCCACCTGGGTCTTAAAAGAGTCTAATTGCCACAGTTCAATTTGCTTCACGATGCCTTTGTGCAAGGAAGCCTCTCGCCTCCCAATACCAAGGAACCTGCGGGGCAGGTAAGCAGAACATGGTCTTTCGGTAAAAATGCTTACTTACCTACCATTTCCTGATAAATTCGCTTCCCAGAGTCGCATTTTTAAAGTTTAAACAAGGATTCGAAAGTCATGTCATCCCGTCCCCTCGATCAGAGACCACTGTCAGGCTGAGCCCAAGCCCACCTGTGTGGAGGATCCAGTAGGGGGGCGGCCGGCGCCGGGCCCCGGCCTGCTGGAGGCACCACCAAGTTGCGTCCACCCGACCCCTGGAGCCGCTGCCCATGACAGCCGTGCTGGCTCGGAGGCCGCTGTGGTGGCAGACGCCTTGGCGTGGCCGGCCGCCGCCACGACTCGGACCGGGAAGGCGCTGGGGCCCCACCGCCTCCCACGCCCGGCTCGGGCTTCAGTAGGGCTCGCAACCTCTGGCCGCCACTGCGCCGCGGCTCTGATCCTGTCCCGACGACCGCACGACCTCCCCGCCGTGAGTGACCCGGCCGCCGCGGGCTCTCCCCGCGCTGCGGTCACCGGTCACTCACCCCAGGGCCGGGCAGCAGCAGCGCCAGCAGCAGCAGCAGACGCCGGACCGGCATGGCGGGGACTCGGCCCTGCTCCCTGCCCCACCGGCCGGCTCCGGGGGCGGTGCGGACGGAGGACTGGGCGGGGGCGCCGCGACGACTGCGCGGCCGCGGGAGAGATTGGACGAACGCAGGGATGACTAGGTGGCGGTGGCACCCCCATTCCAGGCCCTATAAGCGCCGAGTGCCGCGGCTTCTTCCGGTCGGGGCGGGGCTGAGGGGCGGGGCAAACCTGGGATGGGGCGGAGGCCGGGGAGGGCGGCTCCGAGGGACCTGGGGGCGTGGTCTTGGGCGGGGCTGGGGGCGGGGCCGAGCAGGGAATGTTTCTGTCCTCCGCCCTCCGCTGCAGTCTACGCGCACTCTGCTATCAAGTTTGCATGCTGAGAGAGACCAACAACCTGTCTCCCCCTGAAGGCTCAGCTAACCGGGCCGCGGGACCCTCAGTCAGACTTGACTGAGAGAAAGGCCGGGACCTGGGCGGTTCCAGGTGCCTAGGAGCCCCTTCTTCACCTTCCCGCCGAGGTGGAATCCTCGGCGAGGATCGCTGGGGAGCCTGCCCGAGCATCTCAGCAGCGGACGGGTTTCCAGCAAGCACGCGTGAAAGCCTGCGCGGCAGTTGCAGAGTTCCCAGCCGAGGGTCCTCCAACTGTGCCTTGTCTGACACGAAAATCCTCTTTCGTCCCTTTCTTTGCTCTCAAGAATTATCCTCATATCACGGCCAGAGGCCATCAGTTCCCCCTCGGAATGAACCACAGCCAAGTCACCACCAACAAAAATTGTAAGGAAACTATTTGGGCTGCTTGAGTCGTGTGTGTTTTTATGACATTTATACATGTGACCGCGTGAAGCTTGAAATGACCAATGTGTCACAACTTGTTGGAGTAGGCAGAGCTGAGGGCTATTAATCAGAATTAAACAACCCAGAAGCTGTTCACTCACTGGATCTCAAGCCGCTGTCCACTAAATTGGAAGGTAAAAGACATGTAATCCCAGCAGTAGGGAGGCTGAGGCAGGAGGGTCTCCTGAGAGTTCAAGGCCAGCCTGAACTACATAATGAGACCCTGTCAATAAATAAACAAGATTTGGAGTACATGGAAAGGTATCCATGCCAGGTGTGATGGGATACACTGGTAATCCCAGCACTCCAGAGGCTGAGGCAACTGGATCACTATGAGTTTGAGACTCTGTCTCAAAACAAAACAAAAAAGTATCTTGTATGTTGTATTTTTTCCTGACTTGCTCACATAGCTGCCTAAGATTTTTTCAGGGTTCAAGAGAAAGAGTAAACAACCAGGAAAAAAATCTAGAAGCAGCAGGGGAGTGCACTGTGGGTCAATCCTACCCAACTACAAAAGACAGAAATACTCACAGAAGACCAAGTCTCAGAGAATTCCCCATTTCCTGGTTTACAGCTAAGAGATCCCACATACTTGTTTAAGAGTAGGGCAAAGTCTTGGGAACTGTGAAAGCTGTAGACACATTTTGAAAAGTTACCCAAATGTGTAGTTGCACTCAGAGAGGTTTGGGATTAGCAGAGAGAAATCGGCAGACAGAAGCCCAACACACCTGAGCGTGGTGTCCAGATGTCCAGTGGGGAGTCTGTAGCCACACAGCAAGGAAGAGCTCTTTAATGATTACCTGTCAGGATTGTAAGCTGACAATAAGGCCTATCAGATTGCATGGCTGAGTTTAAAAAAGAAGTAGAAAATAGTTAAAGACAGTTTTCAGATCCCTTCTCTGGTGTATTTTCTTAAACACAGTAAGTCTGAGAGGGAAACTCACTGTGCCGAAACTCTGGCAGCCCTCCAACAATTCAAATGTCACTGTGACCCTGTGTATGCAGCAGATGAAACGTGAAGGGGAATGCTGACCTCAATCTGACTCATAAATCAACTTTAAAGGTCCTAGAGACAAACAAAAATCATCCGAGGAACCTGAGCCAGGCAGGTATATTTATCTTGTGTTCAGTTGGACCAAATGTCCAGGCCTTAATTGCGCTGTTTGTATGATCTTAGAATTTCTTATGCAGCACTGAGGTTACTCTTAGGTTTAACCAGATGTTATCACTTGTATGTAGATGCCCCCACCCCCTGCAAGTCTCCTGTGGTTATAGGTGGGGTTTCTTTAGAGGTGGCTGGATCTAGAGTGTATGACACTCAATTATTCATGGTGCAATGCTAGGATCAAGGGCACTAGGATTAAGGATGTGAGTGCCACCCACCCTAAGTACCCTGGATAGAATGTAATGGATAGAAACAGCTGTGGCTGTTCTGGTTGGTTTGCTGTCTTCTGCCTGCCATGTACTGTTTCTCTTCTCAATGCCTGTCTGCCACACCACCCTGCCTTGGAGCCAGCTGATTATGGACTGAAACCTCTACAGACTGTGAGCTAAAGAAACCTTTCCTCCTTTAACTTTGGATGTTGGGTATTTTGTCTCAGCAATGGGAAAAGCAACTAAGACACCAGGCCATACGCTTCAGGTATTGTACTTCTCTTGATTGGCATTGGTTTTCCTTATGGGGGTGTTGCCCATAATCTTGTCCCCTGTCTCAGTACCTATTTAGACAGCTTTTCATTTACAGTGAAGTAAAATCTGACATCACTGATAAACACAGAAATGGAAATATTTTGCAGGGTGCTTTTGAAGTAGATCTGCCCACATAAAAGACCTGAAAATGGGTAGTAAATGACCTTCTGGAAGTCTCATTAAATAGCATCCACTAGCTGGATGTGGTGGTGCATGCCTGTAATCCCCAGCACCAGGGAGGCCGAGGCAAGAGGACTACTATGAATTCAAGGGCAGCCTGGGCTACACATAATGAGTCCAGGCTAACCTGAACTACATAGTAAGATACCTCGCAAGAAATAAAATAAAATAGCATCCACTAATCAAAGCCAAGATCATGGTCTTGGTGTAAAATAATCCCTCTTTTGCCGCATTAAAAAAGACATATATACTTTTAGGTTCAACAAAGACTGCAGCAGGACCTATGCTTAGGAGGTAGAAAAAAGTCAGTTTAAAAAGAATCTTATTTTCACTTCTCTTTGAATCAATGGTCCCGAAAATTGGAGTTTTTTTTTTTAATTCCAACACCATTTTGTGCTCCATTCCTTTACTGATTCAGAATCTCCAGGAGGCAGAGCCCAAACACCTATCCAAGACCCACTCACTCCTGAAGCCCTGTGCTAATTCCTGTGACCAATAACCCTTAGTGTTTATTTTAGTAAATGTTGCCCTCTAGTGGAGTAATTATGATCTAGCTCCTAGATATAGGTCCTAGAGTTAAAAACTTGCACCTAATCCATTTGTGTTTTAATGTCCCGTCCCCCCCCCCCAAGGATTAAGCTAAGATTCTTGGATCTTGGATGCTTCCCCTCACCTGTGGAAACTAGAAAATCACTGTACAGTGATTGTCAGGTTGACTTGCAAATAGCTATTAAGAACAGTAAGCTTGGGGCTGGGGGTTTAGCTCAGTAGTGTAAGCGCCTGCCTTGCAAGCCAGCAGTCGTGAGTTTGATCCCTGGTACCGATAAAAACGAAAGAGACCAACACCAACAACAACAAAAAAGAACAGTAAGCTCCTTTTGAAAGAGACTTGAAGAATTTGTAAATCCAGAGAGGTCATATTTGAAAGCCCATGGGAACAAAATCTTTATCAGAATAAATCCAGTCAGATTTGTTTTGGTACCTTGCTGCTGCTGCTAATTCCAAACAAATTTGAACTTGAAGCATGTGTGGGGATAGTTATGGGATTAAAAAAAATGTGAAACAGGAGTCAGTCTCTGGGAGCAATCTACACTTTTTATCTCCATCTTGTCCTGATGTTTTAAACACTGCTGTCACTTGGAACAGTTTGGTTCTTAGTAAACAGAACTTTGGCTCTTCTTGTTCTAAAATGACTGGACTGAAAAAGATTGTGATACTCAGTCTACGAACTTCTGTTTACCAAGGAATCACACATACCACTGCACACATTTTCTTACACTGCAAAAGGCCTTATTTCTTTGTATCAAATAAATAAAAAAATTTGTATCAAAATAAATAAAATTTATTATTTTTTTCATCTTTGCTGTTGTTTAGAAATGTGTAAATACCTGCTTTCTAGGGTTATCTTGCACAACATTCCAAGAGGTAGATATCACTAGGCCTGTCTTGCATATGACATACTAAGATTTAGAAAGTTTTAACAGCACAATTGAAAAAATACAGCTAGAAAAAGGCACGGCCTACATTAGAATCCAGTGATCTATTTAACTTCAGTTCAGTGATATGATACATCCCACCATTAACAGGTTATTCTTGTCCCAGTGCACGGCATCATGACAAGGTACCACTTAGTGATAGCAAGTATAGTGTCCTAGGCTGGAAACCCTTTATAGTCATAAGAAATTGGTTTTAGAATCTCCCTGAAGATAGCAAAACCCCATGGGTGATATGAAAATGTCTTATATAAAATATCATGGCTGGGCATGGTGGCACATGCCCATACTCAGGAAGCTGAGGCAGGAAGATCACTGTGAGTTCGAGTCTAGCTTGGGCTATACAATGAGCTACAGAGCAAGACCCTATCTCAAAAAAAAAGCCATAGTATTTGCATAATCCGTGTATATCTGCCTGTATACTTTAAATAATCTCTAGATTGCTAACATAACAAAATATGTGCAGGTAGTTGTTACACTTTATTGTTTGGAGATGAATGAGAAGGAAAAAAGTCCTGTATATGTTCAGCACAGGTTAAAATGTTTCTCCAAGTATTTTTGATCTGTACTTGAGTGAATCCACAGGTATGAAGTTTGTGAATAGATAGTGATTGCTAATAACAACCAAAAGTTTGAACAAACGTGGTGTGGTAGTAGGGGTGTTACCTCATTTTATTATAGATAGCTAAATTAAATAGATATTAACATGCAGTCAGGGGTTGGGCCTCCAAGAAGTCAGCACAAAAGAATACAGGCACCAGAATTATGGCTGGAGGCAAACAAAACTTAAGAGAGCCAGGCCTCAGGATGGAGGAGCAATAGCCAGGCCTGCAAGATAAACAGCAACTTGAGATTACACTGTTATTAGCACTAGTGGGCCCAACTAGGCATAGACTGGAAACCAGAATATCTAGACCCATATCCTCCTCCCTTTCCATGAATTCCTTTGTTCTTTCCACATACCCTGGCTATACGACTCGTTTCTCAATATTAGCTAAGGGACTGTACTTGTGACCCTGTTGGTCGATTGCAGTTTGATCCACATTTTCCCACACTGTGATTTTGCCATATAAATTACCCTGACCAAAGAGTCTTGGTGGCCACTCACTCAGAACCCCTCCTGGGAATCCAGGAGCTATTCTTCTCCTTATTTCTAATAAAACTCCCCTAACTTCCTTCTTTGGTTCATGACTTTTTTCCCCAGTGTTATGGGACCACAAACTCAGCATATTTTACATAACAGTTCAGGACTTACATTTTTCCTATAACAAAATGACAGATGAGCGCTCATGATTTCATCTTGAAGTTGTGCAAAAGTATGCAAAACTCTGGCAGCCGTTTGCTGAGAATAGTGAGATTCCTCACTGTCCTAGGGGACAGCGCAGGCTAACTCTAACCTGTTATTTGTGGGTTTGCTTGTGAAATGTTGTTTTTCACACCCATTTGTGTCAAGTCTGTATGCCACCATGGCAAAGTATACAAAATGTTATCAGTTTATAATACAATAATGCCTCAGTTCATATGAATGCCTCCATTCATAAGCAATTCGGCTCTAAAACAAAATTTAACAAAATTGGGTTTCCATTCACAAACTCCACATCAGGTGACAAACTCAACTGCAGCCATCTTCCTACACAAACACAACCACGGCATCGTCTCCAAAATTGTAAAACTAAGGTTGTAAACTGAGGTTCCACTGTACTGTATATTAATAATGTTAAGGACCACTATGAAAATGGTCATCCTGTCAAAGCCCCTCCTCGTCTTCACTGGCCAGACTCTCCTAATCCCTTAAGGTCTGGCTTAATTCCACAGAACTCTCTGGAACCTTCTCTCTAACAGCTCATAAATGTTCTTCCCCTTGTAAATCTCAGGGCCCAAATTTCATCATGTTTTCCCCGGGTATGTCAACGGTTTTTTCTTCTTGAAATTCACTACCTTAGAATATCATTTCCTGAATTTCTTCCTGTTTCTCTGCTTTTATTCTTTCTTCTACAGGATATGTTCATTGTGGCTTAATATGTAGGAATAACCTATTCTTTCTCCTTTTTCTAGAGAACTCACCCACCATATTTTACAGTCAAATTTTAGAGCAGACAGAGACTTTAGCATAATTTAGTCATCTTCATTTTACATGACTTAGGTTTTAACCTCACCATGGATGATTACCAGGCGTTCATTCATTTATGCATTCATTCTTTCAACAAATATCTTTAAGAGTTTTTTTTTTTTCTCTTTAAGAGTTTCTAAGTGAAAAGGATTGATGTCATTAAAAAAAATACCAGGGCCGACAAGTTGGTAAAGGTGATGGAACATGTACAAAAAGATGTAAGGTACAAGGCTGACTATCAAAAGTATGAGGAAGTGGGGCTGGAGATTTAGCTCGGTGGCACTGCCTTACAAGCGCGTGGTCCTGAGTTCGATCCCTGGTACCGGTAAAAAATAAAATAAAATAAAAATAAAAAGTATGAGGAAATAAGAATAAAAGCAGAAACAGAACCATGTGGTGGAGAGGCAGATGTCTGCTGGAAGAAGGAGACGGGATGGGTAGAGAGCCAGGAGGGCTTCAGTGATATCTGGTCCGCACCTCTTACCAGGTATTACAGGAGACAAGACAAAGTCTAGGACAATAATGGCGAACCTTTTAGAGACCTTGTGTCCAAACTGCAAAGTGTGAACACTGCACATTACCCTGAACACTTAGGTTTTAGTTTGCAAAAAACCAGCTGTGATCTGAAGCTCAGCTGTTGGGGTAACTTGGCTCGTGTGCCTACAGACGGGGCTCTGTGTGCCCAGTACAGCATGCGTGCTACAGGTTGTCACCACTGTTGCAGGGGGACATGGAGTATTTGAACAAAGGCCTAGGGTAAGAAAAGTCCATAATTGGATCTAAATGTCTTGGGAAAAAAAAAAAAGTTCATAGACCTGTTGTGAGTTCATACTCCCAAAGGAGAGAGGGGTAGAGATAGAGGAAGAGAGAGACAGAGCAACAGAGAGACAGAGAGAGAGAAGAGGTGGGCAGGATGGCCAGAGGCAGAGGCCCCAGAGTGAGGCTGGGGTTTCCTTAGGAGGCAGCAGAGTGAGCCAGGACTGTAGGTGAGCTTCAGAGTGAGTTACAGGAACAGAAAGGCATTTGAGAGACCAGCATGAAACTGTTAGCATATTATTTCCTTCTGAATCTAGAGCAAAAAAGGGAAGGAGGTAGCCAGGGGACCATGACACACATCAGTAATCCCAGCACTCTGGGAGGCCGAGGGTAGAATAATCTAAAGCTTGAGCCCATCCTGGGTGACCTAAAACTTAGCAACCTCTGTCTGAAAATTTAAAAACAAGTGAACGAACAAAAAACATTAAAAGGGCTGGAGATGTAGTTTAGTATGAAGGCTCTGGGTTGAATCCCCTGTAAGGTAAAAAATGAAAGAGAAACAGAGATACAGAGAGAGGAAAAATGAACAGGATCGATGTAAGTAAGTACGAGACCTTGCCAAGGTACAATGGAATACATTTGACTAATGCAGTGATTCAAACAATACGAGAAAGAAAAATTTAACCATAGTTCATTAAATGTTTGCTGAGCTCCTACTATGTTCAAGACACTGTTCCCAGTCCTGAGAACACAGAAGTAAGCCAGTGAACAGGAACTGGGGTCAGCCTGGCAGGAGGAGGAGAAACTCGGGGTGTTGTGGCCATCTGAGCAGCCAGGTCAATCCTATCACTCTGTTGTGAGAACCTCTTTCCACCTATGGGCCTAAACAATTCTTCCCATCACAAGGTAGAGCTTATTTCCCTTCCTTTGAGAATGGACTGGCCCTGTGACTGGCTTTGATCAGAAGTGATATTCTGGGAGTCCCAAGCTCAAGTTTTAAGAGACCTAACAGCTCCTTTTTCCTTCCTGTTAGCATACTCTCTTTTGAGGCCCTCCCTCTAGAAAACCAACTTCCCCACACCTACCGTACCCCTGTAATGGGAGACGCCTAAACCACAGGCCACACACAGGGTAGGTAGAAGAGGATGGAGCTGCGCCCCTCAACAGCGCCAGCTGAGTGATCTACCTGGATGCTCCAGCTCAAACAAGCCCCCAGGTGTCCTTAGCTGACACCACATGCAGCAGAAAAAATCTCTCAAGGCTGAGCCCAGTTAACACAGAATTATTGTGAGAGACAATAAAATGGTTCTTGTCTTAAACCACTGAATTACAAGGTGGTTCATTATGCAGCGATGGGTTATCAAAACAGCTCGAGTCCCCTTGATTCAGCTCATGGCTAAGGCTTGGACCCAATCTGACTCCAGCTAGAGCCAAGAAAAGCCTCACTTCCTTCCTGGGTACAAAGCCAAAAAGTGTCAGTCTCCAGGGCTGCCTCCATCCTGTAAAGAAAGGCGATTCAGGCTAGGCATAGTTGTGCGCACCTGTGATAGCAGCACTCTGGGGGCCGAGGCAGTAGAATCACAAGTTCAAGGCCAGACTGAGCAACTCAGGAAGACCTTGACTCAATAAAATAAAATTAAACTTAAAAGGTCTGGGATATATAACAGTGCAAAAGCCCAGTTCCCCTTCTTGTTTTTGAGCTGTTGTGCAACACCTATTTGATCCATAGGCAGACACACGACTTGGACAAGCTGCCCTCTCTCTCAAGAACAACCACTCCCTTCCAAGTTGTATTGTCTTTGTTCTGCCTCCAACCTGGTGTGCTGGGACAGCTCTCACCACTCTCTGGCCTTGAGTCCCTTCAAACTCAGTGCTGTTCTTGCCTCTCTTCAAGCTTCAGGCTTTGGCTTCTGTATAATTTTCTATATAACCTGCCATTCCCAGTTACAGTGAATGTTGGATGAATCGCCTTCTCAGAAAACAAGGAATAGTTTTGAGTAGAACAGAGGTAGGGCTGAGGGTGTAGCTCAGTGGTAGAGCACTTGCCCAGTCCTGGGTTCAAGCTCCAGCACTGCAGGGGGGGGAGGGAATATACTTTTCTGGAGGCTGCAGGTTACAGTGATCAAAGGCCTAGTTTTGAAATCAGTAAGGAGTTCAAATTCCAGCTCTAATTGGGATTTATCAATTGTGTAAATGTAAACAAATTCATCTGCTGGAGCCTTAGATCTGATTGCTCTGAGAATTACAGCTAAAAAAATGACAAAACTAACATTACTTTTCAGGACGTTCCTGAGAATTTAAGAGAAAGTGTGTATAATGTCTTCCATGGGACGGGCACCCAGTAACCACCAGTTCTCAGTGAGGAGACTATGCTACTGTGGCACGGCCTGCCAAGGAGCTTGCATTTGACGAGATTCGCTCCCGCTAGGGCTGAAAGCCCATCAGTGTGTTCCTTTGCCCTTAGAAAAGTCACTTTTAGCAAGAACCACACTGTGACTGGTCCCCACCCACCACACCCTCCCTTGCTCTCCAAGCTCCAGCCTTAGCCAGTTTTTTTCAGTTCCCCCAAAGGCAGTGAATCTCCTCTAGCCTCCTCCTCTGGGCTTCCTGCATCTGAAATAAGTGAAATTTATATCCTTCAATTCTCCTGAGGTACATGCATCAGGAATGTGTGTGCCAACGTGAGATGGCTGCACAGAATAAGTAGGGGAATAAAAAAACGTGTTAAGTACCTTTCTTTCTTTTTTATGTGAAGTACCTTTCTGCTGTGTTGTCAGATTGTTGCTTTGTTCTTGATTTTGAAAAATAGAAAATGTTCCTTTAAAAATGTGGGTTGTTTCCTTAACACCCGTGTCTCTTATTTCCTTTCCTGAGAGCCTCAATTGCCATTTGGACACGCCTGTTGTTCCTACGTGATTAACACCACTTCCCAGCTCCTGGAAGAGTCCAGAATAAATCAACCCGTCAGTATATACTTATCTGCCTCCCAGTAGGATGGGTTCAGGAACGAGCAAGATGATTACATTTAAATTAGAGTGCACTCTCAGATGTATTTGGTGAAGTCGAACTACAATAACACTTTTACAATTTTAAGTTGATATAATAAAGTAGTTGGACTTTATTATATGTCATTTAAGAGAAATCTCTTGTGATAAGAATCAGCAGTGGGGGCGGGGGTAGCTCAGCGGCATAAGTGCCTGCTTTACAAGTGTGAGGTCGTGAGTTCAATCCCTGTTACAAAAAAGAAAGAATCAGAAGAGGAAAAACCCCTCTTATGCTGGTGAAAGCAAAGACCGTTTTCAAAATGAAGGGTTTATCTTATTGACATAGCCAGCTACGCAGGCTTTGTTGTGGCTTTGATAACCCCAGCTGATAGCCAAAACTGCTATTTTAATAGCCACAAGTAACTGTTCCTTCTAAAGGGACAGACTGTTAAAGGTAATTTTACCCACTTCCGGTGTGTGCTTAGGCCAGGTTTGGGTGTAGAAAGAGACCAGGTGACACTCTTTGGAGCTAAGTATGCATTTTAAAAGGAAAAGAAACAAAAGGGTTTGGTGGCCCTGTCTATTCTCTTCTCGGTCTCCAGTGTAAGGCATCCCCTAGACTTAACTCCCAGACTTAACCCAGTGCACTGGAGGTGCAAGGAAGTGACCAGAGCTGGCTTAGCCCTCCTGCCGTGCGCCTGGCCCCTTCCTCAAGGGCCTGTGATCCTCGGACCAGATACTTAGCTGCAGGGTTCCTGCTTTCAGAACCTCAGCATAGCTCTGAGAATAGTGTCTTGCCTGGAACTGGGGGTATGGCTCCCTTTTAATAGGTTCTGTTTGGAACTTACTAAATTCAGAAGGGTCCCTGGGGTTTTTATTTTGTTGTTGTTCTATCAATGAATTGATCTGTGCCACAAAAACTAGTTACTCTGCTCTGTAGTGCAGCATTTTTTATTTTTTTTTTGGCCTTTTTCCTTTTTATTGGTACCGGGGATCAAACTCACAACTGCCTGCTTGCAAGGCAGGCGCTTTTGCCGCTGAGCTAAATCCCCAGCCCCTAGTGCAGTATTCTTGAAGGGAGGAGGAAGTGAAAGATAATTTCCAGTTATGCCTAAGGATAAAAAGCCTGATAAAACTTTTACGTTTGTTTTTGAGTCTGCAGATTAAATCTAGACCAGTTTTTTATATTTGATTACTTTTTAGAATGTGGCCCAGAGATAAGTAAAGGTCAGCTTTACTCTGAAAGAGTCCCATGAAAGGGAAACTCACCATTCTGGAAACCTGGTCCTGGAATCCAGTAATCACAGAGGATTTCCTTGGACAAAATCCTGGTATAAATTGTGTTATTTCTCAGGCGTAGGGCAATGGAGGAAGGACAGAAGAGTGATCCCATGCATGCTAAAACCAAATCTTAATTATCTCAAGGGCAGAAAGACAATCAAGACCAAGAGTTCTTCCCAGGATGGGGCTCCAGTCTTTTTTTTTTTTTTTTTTTTTTGGTCTCAGACTGCTACATTTTTAAACTTGACTGACTGCCAACAGATTTTCAAGTAACCTTGAATCAGGACTCTTATCCTAACATCAGCAGAAAGCAGAGAAAAGAGCAAGTTAATCCTGTAGTTCTAGTTTAAGAATCTATAATGTACAAGAAATGTTTTAAGCATATTAATTAAATTAAAATACCAATTTAAATTGGAAGCCAAAAGTAAATTTACCAATTAGCTAAGATTTGTAACGATGGGTTCTTATTGTGACTCTGGGTTGGTGTTCATGCTATAGCATGGTAGGCTCCCCGTTTTTATTGGGGTGCTAGGAGTTGTGTTTCTTTATTTTTTTTTTCCTGAGCCAAGGATAAGGGCAGTCTTTATTCGCTTGTGTGGTGGTGGCCACTAGACTAGGGGCTGGCCCCCTTTGGCTGATGCTATTTTTGGTCGAGCTGGATCCACTGATTCAGGGTTTGGGGTTTTTGGCTGAGGGTACAGATTTCAGAGAATCCCACATGAAGGAGAAACCAGAGTGAATCCTCTCTTTTTTTTTAAATCCTTCAGTTGTTTTTTTTTGTTTGTTTGTTTTGTTTTTTTCATTTTCTTAGAGGGAAGAGGATGACTGGCCCTTGCTGCAAACACAGGGCATAATCTATTTCCTCCTGAAACTCCAGTCTTTAATATTAACACATTCGCCAGGCGTGGTGGCTCACACCTGTAATCCCAGCACTCGGAAGACTGAGGCAAGAGGATCGTTGCGAGTGCGAGACCAGCCTTGGCTACAAAGTGAGCTCAAGGCCAGCCTGAATTGCGCGGCAAGACCCTGTCTCAAAAAAAAAAAAGGACAAAAAAAAAATAATATTAACACAATCAATCAACAACAGTTGATATACCCAGTCCTCATTCGATTTTGAACTTTGGCCAGAATATGGATAGGGCAAGGATGGGGTTTGTGGCCAAATGAAACAACAATATTTCATCAGCTGAGATTCCTATTTTTTGTCTATGGGTTGTCATTAAAAGTCCTTAACATCAAGCTGAGGGGACTAGTGGAGCATTTCATTCCGAGTCGCGTGACTGTCCTTACTGAGAGACTTACTTGTTTATTATTCTGTTTGTCCCAGAGCCCAAGCAACCTCTAGAATGCTCAAGATGCCTTGCCTTTGGTTACTTTCCATTTCACCAGAAATCACTGCTCTTACCTGAGACCATCCTGATCTCATCTGTGATCATCTGGACCTGACCTGAGGTCATACTGGGATAGGGACACAATATCCCAACACCAAAAGCACTATTAAGCCTATCAAGGAGCTGGACAAGATCCCCAGCTACTTGGGGATGGGTGGTATGGTAAAAGGATGCAATAAGAAACAGAGACAAATTTAGTGATGCATGACATGGGGGCTGGGAGGTCAGTGACTCAGGATGGCAAAGACAGTGCCACTTGGAGCTAGCCACTATTTATTGGGCGCACACAATAGTCAGAGAGAACACTGGATGACTTAGAGGGTGGCAGTGATCTTATGCCGACCCAGTCTTGCTCTGAGCTTCACAGTATCATAGGCCCATTAAGGCCTCTATTAAGACCTGTGGGCCTTGGCCTCAATTATAATTTGTGGTCCCCAACATTTCACCCTTTTTGTTTTTATAACTGCAGCAGCTGAAACAGCATACAGGCTATCATGTCCATCATAGCGACAAACATATTCTCAGGAGTTTGTGGGAGGCCCTGTCATGTCACCAGCATGGAGCCTACTGTTATCTTTTTTAGTGTCCCCATGTCATGGGTTTTGTAACCTGCACAGATCTCAGTACTTGTATGGTGTTGGGCTCTCCAGGGCCATCTCTAAGAGTGCTCACACTGAAGGGTCAGATCTCCACCATGAGGCCTAAGTGTTCCTGTCTCATGATTGCATGTTCCTGGAGGGCAGCCATAATGGCATCCATTGTCTGTTAACACATAAACATACCCTTGACCCTGTGCTATTAACTGCACTGGGCCATCCCACTTTCTGTTAGGACATCCTTTTATAGGACCTGAGTCTTAGGTGTGCTAATCAGATTTGGCCTTTTACCAATGAAGTTCTGATGGAGGGTACTTACTTTCTGCAAGTGGGTTTAAAAAGTGTAAGGTAAGGACTGGGCATTTAGCTCAGCAGCATAAGCACCTACCTGGCAAGCACTAGGTAGTGAGTTTGATCCCTTGTACCAAAACGAAGATTCTGATAACAAAAAAAAAAGGTAAAGAAATCAAGATCTAATTGTGTATGTAGAGATAACCACATTTCCCTTTTTGTTTTTGTAATTGTGTTTTAAAGCAATTTTTTTAGACATTAGAGCATGTACAATCAAAATATGAGCACAAGAATGGAGACGCAGGTTAGGAAAAAAGCCAGTTCTAAAAACTGTCCCTAAGAGACTAGAATAGCAATTGTAACCCACTGACTCAGTCTCCTCCTAGACTCTTGGTGGAGTCTGATATTTTGTCATAAGTGTCGTTAGTTTTAGCTGATTTTGCTAAACAATTTAAAGATTTTTAGCTGGGTATGATGGCACACACCTGCAAACCCAGCACTGAGTGGTCTGAGATAGAAGGATCACCCCAAGTTTGAGGCCAGCCTGGGCTACATGAGTTCAAGTCCACCCTGAACTACAGAGTAAGACCCTGTTTCAAAAAACCCCAATCTTTTTAAAATTTTTTTTTTTTACCCATAACAGTAGTTAGCTACCAAAGCTGGAAACTAGCAGAAGGGGTCAGTGATTGGATTCCCTTTTTATATCTACCTTATTATTATGGCACTGTTTTATATATCTTTTGTTCATAATTTTCTGCTGGGTGTTGAAGTCCAAGATAGAGACGTGTGTTAATCAAAATTAGCCTCTTGCTGTCTACCAAGGTCAGTTAAGTCTTCTTAGGCATTTCTTTAGAAACATGCATAAAGCCTCTGAGCTCCTTTGTCAGGGCCGGCCATCTGGATGGATCAGGGCCTTTGTTGACCATGATGCTTTCTGTAAAAGCATGGGAGACGTTTTCCTCTTGGTGACCCTTCTTTGGCACACTGTACACTTGTTGATTCCTGTCCTCTGGGGTCCAGCAATCTCCCTGTCAGGAGATTTGGCGACTCAAAGTTGTAGGATCACGTAGAAGAGATTCCCTCATGTTCTGTATCCTCATTGACCTCGGAGGGCCAGGGCCAAAATATTTGCTGCCCTCTCGGTCCAGTTATCATCTAGTTCTGGTCTCTAAACTTTAGTTGTTGAACAGTCCAAAAAGGTTAAAACAAGAAAAAAAAACTTGTTAGCTCAAACAAAACAGTTGTAAATACGGTAACTAGCTACAAATTAGACAGATAGACAGACAGTCAAATACATATAAGACAATTAATTTATAAAACCAGAGTACATTCAGATGTATTTAGTCAAACTGAAGTATAATAATTTTTTTTACAGTTTTTATGTTTGTAACTATAAACAGACTAGTTAAAACTTTTTGTAGGTCAATTAACAGAAATCTTTTATAATAAGAATTAGAAGAAATAAAACCCTTCTTATAGTATTTTTAATTTTGTTTTTTAAAGAGAATAAACCAAACAAAATGAAATAGAATAAAGCCAATTAGGGCCAGGAGTATAGCTCAGTGGCACAAGTGCCTGCCTGGCAAGCTCGAGGTTGTAAGTTTGATCCCTGGTACCAAAAATAAATAAATATATAAAAATAAAGCAAATAAAAACACTACCATAAGACACAATAAAATCGAACAGAATAAAACCAATCAAACTAAAACAATGAAAGTGATACAGGACTTCAAGATAAGAGGAAATCAACAATGGATACCATAATATATCTTGTTATCTTCAAAATAGCTGCCCATACCACCATACATAATAGAATCTACAAAAAAGAATGAAACCAAACCAAACAATGAAAATAACACAGGACTCAAAGTGAGGTAACAATGTCCACCACAGAAGGAATAAACACTTTCACTCATAATACTGTTTAAAATTTTATTTTGTCTTAAGAATTTTGGAGAGAAAAAAAAAAAAAAAAAGAACTTGGCACCCCCATGCCCTCTTTTTTTTTTTTTTTTTTTTTTTCTTTTTTCCAGTACTGGGGATCGAACTCACAACCATCTCACCACCTGCTTGCAAGGCAGGTGCTTATGCCACTGAGCTAAATCCTCAGCCCCCATGCCTACTTTCTTCACTTAGCCTCTGGCTCAGCCTCTTCTATACTTTCTCTTACCAACTCAGACCTTCTTTTTGTTTTAACAGCATTTGTGGGGTCCCCTCTTTGAGACTTAAACTAGCTTGGGTTAACACTGATCTTCTATGAGATTTGTTTATTACATCTTAACAAGCTTTTAGCTGATTTTTAAGCTCTTTTGTGGCCTTGACCACTTGAAGGGCCTGTTTGTAACCTTTTTTTGTATTTTTTTAATTTGTATTTTTAAAAGCCAACTGAAGCACAATAATTCTGGCCCCTTGTGAACGAGGGAGCTGTCTGTGAGATGCCTCCTGTGAAGCTGGGGCTACAGGCCCATGCCACCATCTCAAGCTTAACCAGGGAAAGGAGAGGGCAAAGCCACCTCTGTTACGTGGCTCCACCACTGGCCTGCCAGTGCTGCTGCAACAGAGGCAGTGGCTGTGCATTCGGGGAAGTCAGTGGCTGGGTGCAGGCAAGGGCACAGGAAGGGCACGGCTGCCTGGCAGCCCAAGCAGCCTGAGCTGTGACATGCAGCCTGGATGCAGTCTGTGCCTCCTGCCTTGACTGGCATGATGTTTTCACAAAGCAGGCATTCGGGCTTCTCACAACCCTCTCAGCATCTCAAACTCACCACCTTGGCCTTGCTAGCACATATACCAGCCTCTACAACTTGTGGAGGTGCAGGCTGTGGAGTTTCTCTGTCAATCTAATCCAACTCTGGGTCCCCCCAGCGGCTGAGGTGCAGTGGGCAGTTTTTCTTTTCATTAAACTTTTCTCTCTTGTCCTTCTCTGAAACAGAAACTTTGTGGTACTAGTACTTAGCAGAACTAAAACAGATTTTATCAGGCCCCAAGCTGAAAAGTTCTCAGGAGAAACAATTTCTCGTTTGCTATGAGCTCTCTTTAAATTTTCTCTCACCATACGACAATTTTGAATATTCAAGGTTCCCACTAGGAGAAACCACATATTTATTTAACAATTTCCCATAACATTTTTATGAGCTCATAGGTGCTGACTTGAGCTCTGGCTTGCTTCAACAACATACACAACAAGGGTGCAAATTCTGCCCCATTTCCCCAGCTAACTGAAAACTTTCTGTGGCACCAAGTATCTTTCACTCAGACCTCTCTGAATGTGTCCTGCAGAGTCCTCTCACCATCTCATCCTCTGCCTCTCCCCCTCAGAGGAGTTTTTCTTCCCACATCTCAATTTAGGTGTTCCTTGTTTGGGCGCCAGCCTGGGCTACAGGGTGAGTTTAAGACCAGGCTGAACTACATAAGAGATCCGCTCTTAAAAACAAAAAACAAGCAAACAAACAAAAAAAAAAAATCTAGGTGTGAGAAGTCTGAAGAAAAATAGGCCTCAGAAGGAAAAGGAACTGTAACTTTGCTTAAAATTAATTAACTCTTGAAGGTACAGTTTTCTCACAAAGCTTAAACTTTCTCAAAATTATCCAGTTTCCCTGTTTCCTTTTCCTTTCTATCTATCTTTATTTCTTCTATCCTACCTCAGTATGGAAGTATGATAATTTGCAAATCTGTTTCCCCATTAAAGAGCATTTGAATGCTGCCAGTTTGGGCAGGATTGTGAACAATGTTTCTATAGACATTTATGTATGGGATTTTGTGTGAATTTCTCTCAGGTACTCAAGGACTGTTTGGTCACATGGTAAGTTGGTGTTTAACTTTTTAAGAAAAAAATCTACTTTAAGGAAGACTATCTGAGAATTTTGGTGTCCAGACACTAAAATATAGCAACATGAGGAAGAGAAAAAGCAGTGAAGTGGGTGGTTAGGAACCAATAAGGATCTGATGTGAGAACTGAAGCCCA